GGGATGCAGAAGAAAGGATCAGGCCCCTCAGAGCTTCAGCACAAGTGACAGCTGGCAGCAAGAAGCATGCAGCAGTGGCAGGGAAAAGGGGGCTCCTTGACTTCATAACACCACCTGCCATTCGCTGGAGCTGCAAAGGGCCCAATCCTTCCTTCTGCAGAGCGTCTGCTCCCCCCTGCTGCCACTGGACAGCCTGCCCAAGTCACACTGCAGCCACCACAAGCCAACCTTCCACCCAGTAGTTTCTCAAGTGCTCAGAGGCCTAGGGGCAGTGTATAAAGATGGAATAGCTTTGCATCTATTCCTTTACCAGTGTCTATGAAAGTTGCATGCTGTAAATGCTATAAGACAAATATTTTTCTGAGTTGTCCCAATGTTGCAGAGACTGAACTCATCATTATTCAGCTATTTTATATTTGTAATTTTTGGTGAAGAAGAAAAACTGGAGATGATTACACCACTGCTGATTTTTCTGTATCTGCATTTCTGTTTGTTCTGTATCTGCATTTGTTTGGTATCTGCATTCTGCCAGTGAAATGTAAATGCAGTTTGTTCACAGACACACAGATGAATATGTATCACTTCCTACTTTCTAACGTATGACCATGTCACACAACGTAGAAATGAATGTGTCAGAACAATTTCATTATGAAACAGTTATCTTTTTATTTTCCACTTGTTTTCACTGCATTACCGAATACCATGTGCTATAGACAAAAACGTAGGCATGTTAAAGTAATGGTAAAGACTACTTTATAGATATTTTGCATATGATGCTGTTTGTTCCTTAATTTCATGGGGCCATGGGTATCCCTGGCTGGGTGTGTGGGTGCCAGGGCCGGGTCTGTGGGGCTGCACCCAAGCACAGGCGTTCTCCTGGGCTTCATGTCAGGTCTGTGCATACATCATGGAGTGCTTCATGACAGGGTGTAGGGGCACACCTTGGGGTCACAGGGGCCCAAGTCCTGGAGTTCATATAGGGGACACAGATGCCTCCCTTCCATTGCCCTGCTTCCTGCCTGAGGCTGATAGCTAGCTGGAGACAGGAGATGGGGTTGGGGAGATTGGGTTTGCTGGCTGGGCTTTGTGAGAGCTTGGGGGTGGGGTCTGCTGGGCATTCAGCCAGAGCAGCCAAGTGCGAGCCAAGCGCTAGCATGCCTCCCTGTGAGAGGGAAGGTTATGGCAGGGGGTGGCAGACAAGGGCTCAGAAGGACCCTAGGATGCTGGTTGACAGTGATGTAACTTGAATTGTTCAGGGATCTGGTACAGATGTTCAATGCACTGATCTAAACTAAATTGATTAAGTTTGAGTGTATGCTGATTCAGGTCTATCTTAGACCAGGTTCCACCATTTTTAGACCAGCCTACATGCACCAAACTTCTGTATGGTTATGGGTTTAGTTTAATCTCTGAGCACTTAGACCAGTTTATGTGTAACTTCTCTTATCTGGCCTATACATGTTTTAATATAGAGCTGGATATATAAAGAGCTGAAACTATAAACCTTCTAAGCTTAGTCATGCAAAACTAGCACCAAATCAAAGGCTTAGAAGTATGACACATCACGTCTGAGATAACTTACCTTAGTTTTCTACACTAAAGTAAGTTGCAGTAGTGTCTGGAGTAGAAAGATGACCAGCTCTGTCAGTGGGAACAGCTATAATAGGCAGATAATAGTATTGAACAAAGAGGTACCTTAGGATTGAAGTAGAGACATGACACATACACTTAGTCCGGTGTAGCTTTACCTCCAATTTTTCCCAGGGTAACTCTATACTAGATTCTAATAAATCACACATGATGCCATGTATCAGCTCCTTTTCTATACAGGTATCAGAGCAGGTCATACCAGTGTAAACATGTTATGTATCTAGGCCCTTAGGCATCTGCATTATTTCCATTCTGGGAGATAGTACATGAGGAGCTGCTATGGTGCACCTCAGTGTAATACTCCCTGGCACAGTACAGAGGTGATACCCTAGTGCCTCACTCCACTGAGTGACAATTTGAGATCATATGAGTCCAACAAGGCTAATATGCTATTGACCACTAACAGGTAGAAATAAGTGGATAAGTAGTAAAGAAGAGAGAATGGTTTTTTTGTTGGGGCACCAAACTGGATTCAATATATCTCCATTCTGTTTCCTGCTCTTCTCCAATCTTATGGTGTGACCCTCATTTCTCATATTAAAATAGCACCAGATCTTCCTTTCTTCCACACTTTCTGTCTTTTTTATTACAATTCACCTTAGTCACTGTCCCAATAACTTTTCTTTTTCCTTTAGAAGCTCTCAGCCAATAACATTGAAAGGGTGCACACTCAAATCTATGCCAGTTTTCCTATTCTGAACTAAAGAGTCGTCTTCTTGCTTTCACCACAGAGTTGACCCATCATCCTCTAATGTGGGGCCCGCAGGCACTTGTGGATCACCAACCCTCTATCAGGAATCTCTTTTATTGCCTCTTGAAGTAATTTCTTTCTAGCTCTTTCTAGGCTGCATCATAGGCCTATAAATGTAGGAAACCATTTTGGGTCTTGCATTTTCCTTGTTTTCTTTTCTGTGACTCGACAGAAGACCTCATTCAATTCTAAGGGAAGACTGTTTCATAGATATTCTGAAATTCCTTCCCAGGATGCTTTGCTTCAACATACAATTCCCATCGTACCTCTGAGAACTACATCTCTCAAAGTCTGCCTGTTTTGTCCTGACCCAGAACTTGACCTATAATCTCACTTATTAGGCAATATAGTGTCATTCACATCTTTAAAATATACTGCCAGATGTCAAAATCTATCATTGAATTATTATCCAGGCAATTCTTTCTTCCATTGTAGGACATCCAAGTAATTTCTCTCTTCTTAAAGAAGGAATACTATGACAGTAGGAGTGTCTACATGAGATACTAAATTCGCAGTAGGCTACTTCTACTGTGCATTAGCAGAGCAGGCAAAAACGATGCTATTGCTCTAGTGAGCAGTAGAATTAGTCTACTGCATATTAGCGTCACAAAAAAGCATGCGCTGGCATTATTGCACAGTAGCGCCTAATTAAAGTGCATTAAGTTAGTACTTATTATTACGGATACTAAACTTAAAGTGCTGTAATTATGGTTCATTAATCAATATGTAAACGTGCCCAGTTTATAGCAAACAGGACACACGCTTTAGAACTACGATGTAAAGGCACAAAAAGCCATGCATTTAGTCATTTCACTGGGGCTGTGATCCCGTAAAGAAAAAAAAAATTGCGACATTTTTCTACTTATTTTGTGAAGAACATGTCAAAACGTGGCAAATCTGGAAAAATGATGACCAAGCTCCACTTCGGAATAACAGACCTAAGGGCACAAAAAGCCAGGACAGCAAATAGTAAAAGCGATACAAAACAAAAAGAATCAGGCACTGCACTTCGTACGCTTCCTTCATATTGCAGATGAAATATAAAAAAAGCATTTAGCACTCCTATCTACCAATTATGGAGTGAAAGAAAAGCAAGGTCTAAATCTTATGTCAAATTCTATCTCAGATTGCTTGCTGGCTAGGTTCTCTGTGCTGTTTCAAGAGGATATAGCATTCTTCAGTCCCTGTGCTGTGTGTTATGAGTGCTGTTGTGCTAAATAGTGTTGTTACTCAGGAAATTGCATCTTAGTGAAGAGTCAAATGATCCTTAGACTCTATTTTGGTATACACTAGCACTGACCTCCAAGGGCAGGAGGATTCATACTGGTTTCAATAGAAGTTTACTCAAATGCAGGAGTCCACAGAGACAGAATCCAATAGAAGAATCGGGGCTAGGTTGGAATATCATTTTGGTGATCTAGTAAAAGATTCTGCCGAGTCATAAAAGGGGAGTTATGAATTATTATCAAAAAAATCTAATGTACAGAGAGAATAAGCAGCTAGAGGGATAAGATACAAGACAGAAATAGAAGCAGAAGAAATTCAGAATGCCTATATAGACACTTGCAAATGCAACAGATGCCCAATCCAATTCCAGCTGACTTCAGTTGGAGTTGGATCAAGGCCTGCAATAATTTTCCAAGAGCTTTGCTTCATATCAGAAGACAGGACTGAGCTTATATTACCAGCTACTCACACCTGCTAGCACTTCAACAAATCTATTTCCTTCTTTTAAGTATCGCATACAATGAATTCACATTTATACCAAACTTGGACACAACATGGGAAGATGTATCTTTTAATTAGCTAGGCCAAATGCTAACTAGCTGCAAGGTGGGAGCAGTTAAGATAATACCTGTTCTAAGTTAGCCTTGATTCTCTCATTCCTCCCTTATGCCCTATTGTACCAAACAACAATTACTAAGGTTTATGTTTCTTTGATTTCATGATAAAAGATGATGTATAGAACCATTTCTCAAAGCGTATCTTTTCAGCTAGAGAAGATTTTACTTTGTGATGCACACGTTTACTTGTATTAATTCCCATTATTAATCTAAGTGAATTATGCATTTCATTAGGTACCCATTAATCTGTTACAGTTAAAATGAATCATAGTGTTAATTCTGAGGAAAGAAGAGGTATAGTCAAACAAAATATATGATCATTAGAGTTGATGCTATGCATAAATAACAGTAATGGGCCAGATGTGTATTAAAATGTAGGCATTAATGGTCCCAGAAGTTAAACAACCAAAAATGTCAACTTGGAAGTATTTTACTACCTTAGAAACCCACAAGTTCAAAAGGACTAAGCAAAGGCAAACTTCCTTATATTGTAAGTATCTACATATTCATAGCCATGATCTTTATTTATACACAATATTCTTAAATTGTCTGAGAGAGGAGTACTAAGAAACAGATCAAATGCATGGACAAAAAAGGATGCAAAAAATTACGTGACAAATATAATGACTGACACCTTCAGAGATGACAAGTGATTTTTGAGTGCCTTAATTTTTGGTTGCCAAAACTGAGACAGCTATTGAGCATGTGGCTCACCAGCAGTCTGAAAATCGGACTGGTGTGTTAGCTGTTATGACTCAGGAAAGAGACCCGAGACTTATTATCGATAGCTGTCTAAAAAACATCAGCTCAGTGTGCAGTGGTAACCAAAAAAAGCCATCAAAGTGTTGGGCCTCATTAAAAAAGGAATTGAAAACAAAATGAAAAACATCATCACGCCACTATAGAAATCAATTGTGTGCCAGTGTCTTGAATATTGTGTGCAGTTCTGGTCTCAGCATCTCAGAAAAGTTAGGTGCAGCAGTCAATTAGAATTCACATTGAAGCACAGAGTAACCACAAGGATTTTTAGCCAGCATCTGCCCAAGTGATTGTGGTGGCAACAAGGGAAAGATGCTGGGCCTTTGTAGAGATTTGGTGAGGTTCAATACTGGTTTCAGTTCTACCCTTGTTAGGAGTAAAAGGGAAAAAAAAAACGAGGGGATGAACGAGTGAGAAATATAAAGTGAGAAGGGTTTGGGACTGCAGCTAAGTGGAGATGATGGATAAGAGGCACATGCAGGAGGTGGGGGAGAAGGGGACTTGGATCAGGGAAGTAAGTGTTCAACCCCCTAATAGCCTGTGTATGCAGCAATACAGTATGCCAGATAGCAAAGGGCAACGTTTTAACTTACTGAAGTTGTCTACCACACTACTGCCTTAATGGGACAAAAAGCCAAGGCTCATCTGAAAGTATCAGGGGAAATTCTAGTGCAAAGAATGGAAGGGGAAGGAGCTGAAGAAGGAGAAAGACAGTCCAGCTTTCTCTCAACCACTTAAAGTAACAACCATGTATTCAAACATTCAAGATTTGGGGTCCCAGACACTTGAAACATCTCAAGATGTAAGCATTACCTTATGTCCACTGGAGGTCAAGTTGTGTGGGCACTATGTGAAGAATTCGGTTCCTGGTTTTCAGAAGTCTGAGTGCTCAGATTCTGCCATTGCCTACTTGGTAACTTGAGCAAATGAGTTCAACTCCACGTGCCTTTGTTTCACCACCTGTAAAATGGAGATAATGATGTCAAGTGCTTTGAGATCAGTCAATCCTCATCTCAGGTTTAATGAAGACAGTGGGGTTTTTGTCAGTGTCTATAAATAGTCAGATGCATGCCTGATGTGCATGTTTTTTCAGCTGCCCTCCCTCAAGTCTCAACTGCAATTTTTGCTTTGTGTCTTAATTTTTAATTGCCCACCAAATCTTCATAGTGTGTGACATCAGTTTCTCCCAGACAGCTTCAATAGGCCTTTCTGAAACACTTTTCTGTATGAGTTCAGTGACAGCATTATGAAGTGATGCTAGTTGCTAGAAATGGGATCAGCTGTGAAAGAGAAAATTTGATTTCTACTAGTTACTCCCCGCCCCCTCCATAGGCATTCCTGGTTATTCAGATCTGGTATATAACTGTTTTTTTTGTTCTTTATATTGGTCTTGATAGTGTATTGAAAATACAGTAGCTATTGTTACCCTCTTCTCTACAGCTTCAAAAGAGTAGCCTTGACAAAACACTTCGGACAGCACTGCAGCAGAACATAACCAGAACGCTCTTCACCTTTTCCTCTTATAAGATGAGGAAAGATGAGGAGGTTTTTTAGAAGAATAATAGCTACTGAGATACTCTGAAGCTCTTAATGACCTATAGGTGCTTTCAAATGCCTGGATGTCAAATAAGCTTGGAGGCAGTTGTTCAAAGTAAACAGATTATCTCAGAAGCTTCAATTTAGATACTGTTTGGTTTCACTTATTTCATTTATATTTAGTCTACCCTATATTGTAGTTTGTTTCATGAAGGTGAATGTCACAAGTCCAGGAAAGTCTTCCTTGACACAGGGCAAAAAAAGTTATAAGCCAGTGAACAAGTAGCCAGACACTGTAAATATCAAACCTGGAGTGATTTTAGCTATAGCACTGTAAAATGTGCCAAATGGTTGGATAATCTGCCAAATCAAAGACTATATTGCAAATGATCTAGATGATTTTTCCCCCACCCCTATTGTACCTTTTTTGATGGAAGACTGGGCATTTGTTTGAAACTAAATTTTAACTGAAATTGGGGAAAAGTTGTATTTCTGTGAATAATTGTATTTCTTGTGAAGAAGCTAAGCAGGTGGAAGTGGCGTTGTTTAAGCTAACCCCTCCTCCCCAAATATGTATTTAATATATATAATTCAGAAATCCTTTTTCCCCTCACAGGACTTTTATTTCAGACCTCTCATTTCCTCATTCTTCTTGACAACCTGTGCTCCCTACATGCATGCAGTCTGTGATGCATTTGGTGGTTCAGGAGTCAATAAATGGGAAAAGCAGGGTGCTTCATGAAAGGAGTAATCTCACCCATAGAGAAGGATGGTGACAGGAGGCAGCAGAATAATAAACCCCACAAGGCATCTCTATGGCATTTCTAAATTGAAATGTCTAATGTTCAACTAAAAGCTTTCAATATTTTCTCAAGATATTTTTGCAGGGAGAGAATTTTAAGAAAGCATTTCTGACCAGCTTCAGAAGTAATGCACTCTTATTCCAGGGTAGAGCTACCTTTAAAGTGCATTAAAAAATAATGCCATACATCTGATTACTTTGGCAATACTATTAAGATGCCAGCTGCTTGCCAGCACACAACAAGGAGATGTAGCTGAAGGAAAAAAAAGGAAAAAAGAAATAAGCTTAGCTTTAATAAAATGTGCTTTATTCACATGAAGATCTGCTCACATCCAACTTGGAATGTTTCATATCCTTTTTCTCTTACCAGTGTATGCCTATGCTCCCTGCAAAAATGAGAAACAATTGAATTCATGCCACCAGTTCTGCACTTATGGTTTATTAAAAGAGACACGTGGTTGAACACAAGAACAGAACAAAAAAATCTAATGAATAGCACAACTATCTAGCACCATCTGATAAGGAGCCATTTAGGGCCCAAATGAGCTCCTATTGACTGTATGTAGTAAGACAAGGCCAAAGCCATTAATTTTCTTGTAAACAGAGAAACAAACAATCCATTAGAAATGGCCCCTATATATATTTGTACACAGGGCTCTATCTATTTTTAGTCATAACCTATGGTATCTCTCTAATTGTTTAATTGATTGTTAAGAGGAGCAGATTTCTATTATTGCTCCTGTTCTTTTCATTGGGTTGGGACCAAACATAAGTGCTATGTTTACTTATTTATAAGTTATCGAAAACCTTTATTTGACTTCCATGCATTTCATATGCAATAAAAATATGACCTGATAGCCTCTGCAAATGAAATCCAATTAAACTGGATTTACAGTGAATATATTTTTCATCCCTGTGTTGCCTTGGCCTAGCTGAAGAGCTCATAATCAATTCATAGATAGTTGTTGAATGCTCTTCTGGTCTATTCTCTGCTGCTGAACAATGAATGCAAAATAGGTAATTAAACCAAATATCAGGATTTCAAAGAAAAAAATACCTAGGCTGGAAAAAGTAATCTTTTATGTTGTGATTAGAGGGTATATGTGGAACCTTCCCACACATACACAAGGGCCAGAATCTATTTAATCTATTAGGCACCTAAATCCACTTATGTGTCTAAGTGAAATTCTACTCCATCATGCTCAACTCCTTGAAACATCATTAATGCCAGAAGTGGGTGAATCCTCCTCTTCCTCATTGTTTTTTCCATGACTCAGTCTTAAAGATAAGATGGTGGGGCATTATAAATTACATGACTAGATTTTCGAGGACTTGAACAGGGTGCAATGGAATCACGCTCGAGTTCCTAAGTCCACCTAGATGCCCTGTAGGAGAAGCAGAAACTGCCTGCTCCTATAACACTCTCTAAAAAACCAGAACTAGGATTATTTGTCTGTTAGATTAAAAGAAACCCAACTGTCTGTCTAGCTATTCCACACAAGATACTTGTTTTATTGTTCTTTTATGTATGTATATTTTGTGCGTGATATTAATTATGTGCATATAAGAATAATGGTACAAAAGCAAACAATGGCGGAAAAGAAATATGAAAGGTTAACTAGGTAAATAAAAAAAGGAAAAACCTCACTCAGATGAAGTTTAACTGGAATGTAAGCTTTGTTCTGTTATTCTGTTACAGAATCTGTGTGGCAAACGTAGGATGGAAAAAATATTCTCTCAGTCAGTCCATCTAAAGAAAGCACACTAGCAGCACAGGAACATAAGAAACAGCTTGGCAAAGAGTACTGGCATTTAGAGTACTGGTGGGAGAAGAGAAGTTGATAGCCAAATTATTTCCAGTTTAAATATCAATGGTTTTAAAACTATTCTAAGAATAAAATATCTGCAGATATTTAACATGCCACCAATTGGAAATAAGAAGATGCAGCTTTATAGTTTGATTTTACATGAAGTGTTTGCATGAAGTACATAATGGAGCTAGATCACCTGTTCCCAACCTTGGGTCGTGACCCAAATGAGGGTCACAGGAACAATGCCAGTGGCACCGCACACAAAGGATGAGCCACACCGTGTGCCGGGGACTCCCCTGCCCCTGGGGCGCTGCTGCTGCCACACTTCACTCCCAGCAGCAAGGTATGGCAGAACAAGATTGAAAACCACTGATCTAAATCATACTCCTGTTGAAATCAATAAAATAACCAGTCCCCAAATAGAGATGACTTAACACTGGGGACACAGAAGTTATATTCCCAAATCAACACTATTGCTGACTGTGAATCTGATATTTCATCTGAGACTGAAGGATTTTCAAAGTCTAACCCATGCATTTCAGAGCCTGACTTTGCAGAGTCTGTCCCAAGCAACCACACACAGGGTGCATCTACACGAGATGCTTAATACACAGTAGCCTAATAACACTGTGCAGTAGCGTGCCGGGCAAAAACCATGTTAATATGCTACTGCACAGTAGTATTAGGCTACTCCATAGCAAGTGTCACTAAAAAACCATGTGCCAGTGCTACTGAGCAGTAACTGTAGTTACTGTGCATTCAGTTAGTACTTCACTAAGCAAGTACTAAAATAAATGCACAGTCACTACTGCGCATTAATGAATATGCAGATGTGCCCATAGAGAATATAACTAAACCCAAATTAGCTACTGTAACAGTGGCTTTTGCCATCCAACAAAGGTTGCAGAAGTAGGAAACCACCTACAAATGGAGTCAAGCCTATATTAATTTTAGTCAATGAAATTTTCATAGAAAAACTCCATTAACATTGTATGTTATAAAATAGGAAGGAAATAGCATCCTGAAATGTATAAGTTTCAATAACAACAGTTAAGATAAAGAATAGGCACATCAATCCAACAGGGATTGAAAGGCTGTGTTAAACTTAAATTGACTGTAAGTGGAGCACTGGGGTCAACTGGTATTTGATTTAGCTGGAGGAGCGGTGTTTTAAGAGCATTTCATAAAATTCAAGGAAAGAGAAACTTAGGCTGCTGTGAGGTGAGGAATGCAGTAGGCTTTAGAGTGACACTGATGCAAAAAGCTTCTTCATTAGTGAAGTCCATAAGCTGGAAGTCAATTCATTTATAAAACCACAAAAATGCATCTGCCTTTCCAAAGGGCCAAACACTTAAGCGCGTGTTTTGTCTATACTCCAAGTGGAGAATGGAAATGCTTAATTCAGCAGGCAGAACCTCACTGAGTGTAGGGAAAGCTCATGAGAAATGATAACATAATCTTTCTTTTCAATGTCTCATTCACTGATGTTAGTTAGGAAGTTCAGAACTACTCAGAGCCAAGTTGTCTGTGTTAAGCAGGTGGTCAGATTATAATGATTCTGTTTTGGTTTTTAAATTTGTGAATCAGAATCCTAATGAAGTATCCCTCTTTGACTGTCTCTTCCAAAGCTATGGGCATTTATAGATGTGGTCCAGGAAGCAGGGGAGGGAGGGGGTGCTTTAATTAGCGCAGCTCCAAGAGCCACACTAATTAAGGCATCTAGCGCGTTACATGTATCAGTGTCTCTGCACTGAAAAATAGCACTGGGGCTTTAGTTAAAGATCCCCACCGCCATTTTTCATTGTGGGGAAGCTGAAACATGTGACGCTGAAGTCTGCTGGAGTGCGGGAATTACCAAGATTAATCAAGTCTGCTCCAGTATGCTGTAATTACAGCACCTGGAGCCTAGTTGGAGCAACCCTGGTCTGGCAGGCTGATCCCCTGGCTCCTCTGCCAAACCAAGCTTCTCCCACTGGGCTGCACATGCAGTAGAGCAGCTGGCTGAGGCATGAGGGTGCATTAATAAGCTCCAGAGTTTATGTGTGTGCATTAAATGCACATGTAGACATGACCAGCTTGTGACAAGGACACAAACAAGGAAGGAAAGGAAGGATCATATTAAGGTCATAGGAAAGGGTGATAAGACAGAAAACCAGATCTTGTATTGATATCTGAATAGTTTCTGGAGCAAATAACCCTTGAAATAAACATCACAAAGAAGCAATTTTCAGTTACTTAACCAAACATTATTACTTATTATTTGGTTGTATAAACTATGGGAGCTTTTCGTGATCCCAGTTATCATAAAGAATAGAATGTTATATACTATCAATAGGCTCCATGGTAAATATTTTCTTTTCCATGTGTATCAGCCCATTATTATTGTTATTATTGATGAAAAGTGACATATTTATTAGCCACACCAGCTTTCTCCCAATTAATGTACAGAAAAAAGATAATTACTGATTCATGTAGTTGATTCTCTCCTGTGCAAAACTGCAGTCATGGAAAACAAAAGAGAGCAAATAAAAACTCCTAATTAAGCTGAGTTTAGCAGGATAGCTTGAACATGGCATGTTAGTCCTGCTATGCAGGAGCACTTCATTAGCCTAAGTACTATGTACTCTCCTAATCAAAGGCATGAAATATGGTTGACATGAAATAAAATCTTATAGTTTTAGCACCCAATAGATTGACACACAAAGCTAAGGAGTCTTCCAAAGACATTTCACAAGCAGCAGACTACTTTGAGGGCCAGATTCACATCTGCCTCATAGATTACAGATGACAAAATACTTTCACACATTGAGTTTCAGCAAATCACTATCTGACAGGATAACCCTGGGGCTAATAATATTTCCCATAAAGATTATTGCATTGGAGAGTTTGGAGGGTTTTCTTTGTTTGTTTTGTGTTTCTTGTTTGTTCTTTTCAGTTTGTTTTTGACAAATCCATATAATTGAGGACATTTTAAACACAGGTCTTATATTAGAAGATAAAGAAGGAATAAAAAGGGCAGTATAATCCAGCAGCTGGAAACCTGAGCTGTGAGTTCTATTCCTGGCTCTCGCACTTACTTTGGGCAAGCCCTTCACCTCTCAGTTCTTCTTCCTCACCCACTTCACCCACCCATTTTGGGCTCTGAGCTCCGGTGGGCCAACGTTGGATTGTTCTGTGCCTACCTACATGCTGTCACTATCTTGCAGGTGCTATTATACTACAAACAAATGCATAATAAAAAACACAAACACAGTACAATTCAGAATTTCATCCCTCAGGAAATCTTCCTACTTTAAAATTCATCCTAATCCCAAATTACATCAAAAGCTAACATTTCACACTCTTACTGCTACCACCTGACCTTCACATACATGCATGTACACTCTGAGCAAGGCAAACACTGATGGTTAGACCCAACAAAGTCAATGGAGGGTGAATTTGTTCCATGTACTCACTATGACCCAGACTTTATTAACACAAATAGTTTCACTGAACTCATTTAGGATTTATTATGAACATAACATGATGTAGCAGCTCCATTCATTTCAAAATACTTTCTTCTTGCTCTGTACACTCTTCTTTGAAACTAACTGTCCATAATATTTTTTTCAAATCATTTGATTTTATTCTGTAGCAATCTTTCTGACATCACTGTTCAAATTAATGGCAATTCTAATTATTAGAAATCATATCAGGGATCCACAGAAGAACAGAATCATTGACACTGTGCTCTTATTGTTATAATGATGTAATCAGAGGACTTAATTACTTCAAATGATGAGGAATTCACTTGTGTGGATCTCAGGGTAGAGTTGGGAGCTAAAATAGCAATGGCATCAACTACCATTGATATGAGATGTAACATACTACAATACTACATACTACAATACTGTAACATACTACTAGAGGGAACTACAATACTTCTTATGTCACCTTTTTTTTTCTCTCCCAAACTAAGGCCCAGTCCTCCTGTCCCATTATTGACAAACATAACTTTCCATACACAAGAAGACTTATTGGACACCTCTGTGTCCAACTCTACTTCTCCTATATATCTCTCAGTACTTAATCAGTATCTTGAAACTATGCACAAACCGGTGAACTTAAAAAAAAAGGGGGGGGGGCAGGGGCCCAACTCCATGTTTTCATTCAAATAACTATTAAATGCTTATCTGTCTTTTCTGTGTTTGCTGTTTTAAATTAAAGTTTCTAAATAAAAAGTTCTTTGTGCAACTTTTGTAAATGTGAAAAGAGGATATATTGATAATCTCAAAAACATTTTTCTCTGAAGTAACTCTAGTCAGGAGATTTCTCAGAAGCATTCTCCTTCACAAACAGTTTGCATTTCAGAGCTGGCATTTTTGCCTGCCCCCCAAAAATGTGGATCATCAAGAATGATGAGTTCTAGAGTGATAGGTATTTATGGTTTAATGACTGCCTAGAACATGCATTTAAAAAACCAAACACAAATATGTATATTTTAGGACAATGGAGACAATCAACACTGCCACCACGATCACAGCCTTCCTTTAGCTCAAATATTTATAATCTCTTTGTTCTGACCCTAGATGAATGGTAATTCCTCTGTATTCTAGACAGCAACTCTGATTGTCATTTAAGAAAACTGATCAAAGTAATCACATGAGATCCACAGCAGTTGATTTAAACATTTGATATTTAGAAATAAAAAAATTTCTCTTGCCTTGTTTTAAGCTAAGTATATTAAATAATCAATACTCATATCCAACATATTGCTTCTTGAACTTACGTTGCTTATAACTTGGATATTACTTTGCTATGACCTGCTGTCACCATTACTTTCTTTTGCAAAAAGGGGGGATTTGGTGTAACGTATTCATAAATCTCCCACCACAATATGCAATCTTTGTTTGGGAAATACATCAATCAATCAATCAATCATCTCAGCTTTATCTTTTGAAAAGACATTTGTGTCTGGCATTTGATTTAATTATCATAACATAAAGCAGTTTATACTAAGTCTTTAATGATTAAAATGCCCAAAACATCTTACATTCATTTTTCTTATTTACTTGTGTTATCACATGGCCCAAATTGAGGGGCAGGAGTTTATTATGCTGGGCCCTATTTGAGCAAGGAACAAGACAGACAGTGTCTGCCCCAGAAGATTTAACATTTTAAACCCCCATTTATCCACAGCCATAGGTACAGCTGAAGCCATTTCATTTAGTCAGAATTTGGGATCTTGGTTTAAGCCCTCAACATTGGAGTACAAGACTCAATGTGCATGTAAAGGAAGTCGACGTGGAGTTTGGGGTTTACCTTAATGTACTTGCCCAATGCTTGGGAAAGAGCACACTGCAGTCTTTGACCAGGAAAAGGAGAAGGATCTCACCTCAACCTCAAAAGCTCAGTTGTTCTGTCTTGATGTGGAAAAAGTAAATCCCTGGTATAAGAGAGCCTCACAAAACTCTCTTCTAGCTGTTCACACAGGCCTTGAGTCATGCCAATGCAGGCCTGCCTTGCAATGAATTCCAACCAGTCTGAAAGAAAACATGCTTAAATTTAAATAATAGCGCATACAGAGAAATTTCATTCCAGAAGATTTCTGTTTAATGGTCCAGAAGAATAAGACATGCAACAAGAAGTTAAAAAAGAAAAAGAAGATAAGAGCAGCTCTTTCTGTGCCAGGAAAAAAGCTAGTGAAATGTGTTGCTGTTTAGAACAATATTATGGAACTTGTATATATGGCCATTTATTTAAAATTAATATTAAAAAAAAAGAGAAAGATTGAGACTCTAGAGGCAACAAAATTTGTGGTGAGCAATTAATTAGAATGAAGAAGCACATGATAGCTAACCATCTGCCATCAAGGGAACAAGTGTACCTGGTATTACTTTTGTAGATAAACACAGAGATGAAACACCAGCTTGCACATGGCAAATTCTGGGAACACACTTGTTCACCATGCAATAGGAAGTAGGGTTGAGTAGAACATTTACTTTCTACCTATTTTCAAATAGCACCATTTTGTGACAGTCAGAATTAGGTCACAACCAGTCATGAAAGTGTTGCTCATTAGCCATAGGCATTCATACAATATCTTTAAATTGTCAGCTGTTCACAATATAGTCTATATTTTTGTTCTGGGTGCATACAGAGCCTCATACAATGGCTTGATTGGGTTTCCAGCCACGTACAAATATTCAGTTTCTCCTGGGAGAGTTACTGCTCTCTGTGTTACCAAACACAAATAATACCACTATGTAATCCTCAGTTCTTCTGGTTGAATTAGGAGGGGGCTTCACTTTATACATTAAAATATTATTTAACTAAACTTTGTAAGGGAGGAAATGCTAATGGTAAAATGTAATTTGTAACAGATCCCAGATGTTAAAATCAATAGAATGACAAAGCTGTAAGCCTTACTAGACTATGCAAAACAGGATGCAGAAACTATAATTGCTACAGCTTTCCAATAGCCAGAAGTTCAGCAAAAATACTGCGAGCTCTTAACAGTGCAAGGTCTTTGTTTTAGTTCCAGCATTGGTATAAAAATAATAGATTTTCTGCATGTGATTCATGCAGGCTCTTATTGTGGCATAGTGATTGAGGTTGTGTGAAATGTTCACTATCATATTCAATAATATATGCAATTTTGATGCTAGAAAGATGCTCTAAAAAGGGCAAGCCTGTGCAAAATTTCATGTTTTGTGATTCTGTGATTTTAAAAAGAAATGCTAGTTTTCTTTCATTTACTACTTAATTATTTCTCTTGAAAATGTCTCCTTAAAACTAATAAATAATAGCCATCAAGGCATTTATGCAACGTATTCCACCCGCATGCAGAATTATTTTCAGAGCCAGGGTAGGAGGTGAAAGGGAAATTTTTAAGGACAACATGTAGCCAAAAAACAGGTGAATGTCTTTAAGTTAATTGCTGGCCTATAATTTAGTATGCAGAAAGACAGAGAAAGAGAGAGAGGCCATACAGGAATAAAATGTCTAAAAGCCTGTAATCTTGGTTGAATTTTTGAACTCTGTATTTTAAGCTCTCTTTTTTCCATTTTTGAGACAAGACATATGAGACCTGGCTCTCATTTACATCTAGGTATTTAAGGGAGCTTTAAAGTAGGTGCAAAGGTAAGCTACAAAGTTAGTGAAAAGGACTAGAATATATCTATATCTGAATCTATATCTATATATATTCAAAAGCAGCTATTTTTCTCTCTTTTGTATAGGCTTAGATTATGAAAACTTTTTAAAAAAATTGATGAATGACAAGTCAGTCTCTGGAAACATACATGCGTATTATATAAATAAAAATGTAATATATAGTGTCCAATAACATCATTCACTGTGCAGTGAATGGTCTGAGATCAAAATTTAAGTAGTACAAGAGTGATGTAGCCATGATGGTCCAGAAAATATGCAAGAGGCAAGGATTTCTTAGAGTGAGATATTTTATTGGACTAGTTATGTAGCTGGGATAAATTTCATAGACATTAGGGGCTGGAAGGGACCTCAAGAGATCATAAAGTTAGAGATACTTTTCATTGCAAGACAGTCTTCCTCAGGTCACTCCTTCCATTTACCTTTTGGTCATGTCTTGCATTCAAAAGCTTGTCTAACTTTATCCCAACTACATAGTTGAGCCAATAAAATATATCACCTTAAGAAATCCTTGCCTCTTGCATATTTTCTGGACCATCACAGCTACAACATCACTCTTGCACTATTTAAATATTGACCTCAGGCCATTCACTCTACAGTGAATGATGTTATTGGACACTATATATTACATGTATATTTATAAAATATGAATTTAGATTTCCAGAGACTGCCTGTCTTCCATTTCACTCTGTCTAGCTGTTTAGCTCTAGGTAGACCTGAAATATGTTTGTCACTTAGATATTGATTTGTAAACATTTAGAGTATTAAAATGAATACGTCTTCTCTCTTTCCCTAAGTCATTGTTACACAACCAGGAGCAAAGATAGCTGTACTCACTTCTATATAACGTTCTATTAAATATGATGGATTTTTTTCAGCAGCAACAGGAGTATAAAAAGGCTGAAACTCACAGTCTATGTTTAGTTCAAATCATATTACACTGCATTCCCTTTGAAGTATGTCTTGGCAGAACCCTTTGCAAGGGAGAATATTTCCATTCTCCTCCTCCCCCCAGCCCCTTCCCCCTGCATTCTTTTTAACTCTAATTTGTAACAAATATTTAAGAATGTCTGTAGGTTAAGATGTGTAAGATATGCTATAGTATCCTGAGGCTGGTTTGGATCCAGTAAGACATATGCAGTTACTAAGGGAAAAGAATATTCAGGGAGCAGAATTTTGCTCGTTTGGTTTGGCTTCGTCCACCATAAATAATGCATGTCTTGAGAAGGTCTGCACAGTAATTAAAAAGTGATCTCAAGTATTTTTTGGTATCATCCCAATTTCCTTACCATAGGCCTTTCATTACAGATATCAATGGTAGAACTTTTCAACTAACTTAGCCTCCTGTCCTACAAAGAGCCTTATGCACAATACCATGCACACAGCCAGGATTTACACAAATCGGGTGTGACATACCTCCCCTCAGGGATGGGGCAAGACATCGCTGGATTCCTTGGTTTGGTGGGGCACACTGGGGAGCCATCCTCCCCCCACTCCAAAGCCAACACCACTGTCACTGTCCCTGGCTGACCTGAAGGCAGTGGGAACCTCAGAGCTGCTCTTGCCCTGCTCCAGTTGGATGCTGCAGGGAGCAAGAGTGCAGGGTGCTGGGTTCAGCTGGGGACAGCAGCAGTGGTCCAGTTTCCTCCTTCCAGCCCCTGCTTTGTCCCCACCACCACTGGTGTCTCTTGCTGGCCAGAAGCAGGCACTGGAAGGAGGAACCTTTGGGCACCTATACACCTGCCTAACACCTGCTCTGACACTTTTTAATTAAAATGCATCAGAACAGACTTGATTAACTGAGTCTGCTGGAGTATGCTAATTAGAATACTCCACCAGGCTCAGTGTTGCATGTATTCAGAGTCCCCATGTTTCAAAATGATGGTGGGGGAGCTTTAACTAAAACTTGTAGAATGAGCTTTAGTTAAAGCCCACCCCCACTTCCTGCTCCCATTTTGAAGCACAGGATGATGAATATACAAGATGCTGTGGGCATTTTAATTAGAGTGGCTTCCAAGAGCCACTCTAACTAAAACACTTCCCACCCCCAACCAGGAACACATGTAAAGACGCCCTTTGTGCCGCCACCACCGTCCCTGGCTTAGCCCGTTCATGGCTTGAGCAGGGCAGAAACAGCTCTGGGGCTGTGTGTCCAGATTAGCCAGAGACAGTGGCAGAAGGGGGATGCAACTGCACCACCTCACCCTCCCTGGACACACCCCTGTACATGACCAGGCTCCTGAGCTCAAGGGGTATATAAACACGTACTAAGTCAACTTAAGTTAAATCACATTGGAGTGTACACACATACAGCTCCTTGACATGGTGGCAGTCATCTTGTGAGATAAGTTGCCTTAACTAATGTGAGTCAAGATGGTACAACATGGTATAGTATCTTGTGCTGCATTTAAGTGAACTCTGCTCCTCATATGTGCATACACTCTGACAGTTAAGTCAACTTAAAGGAGTTAAGTCAGCTTAACTGTTAGAAAGTTAGTATGTGTGTATACACCCCAAGGTGCTTTGCAGGTATGAAATGTTTGCAGGGTCAAAACCTAATTTCTAGTCACCGATTTCAGTCCAAACATTTTTATTTTTTTTGCGCGCACACGCTTTAAATTAGAAAACAAATCAATTGCTATAAGAAGAAAGGGGACTACCATAGGAGCCCCGTTTTTTTTTTCCCCTCAATCAGAGGCATTGTTATAGTAATGCCTGATTTGTTTCCTTTTGCTTCAGGTTTACAGAATTTATGAACGAAGTTTTGAGCACTTTTGTCAGAAAAAAATAATCAAAAATCACAGGGATACCTAGTAGAGCCACTTTCATGGGCTAGCATCACAATTCACATAATTCTCCTGAGAACACAGTGATGGAGACAGAAAATGCCACCAGTCTATCCAAAGAGCAATGGCAGTACAGCAAAGCCAGCCCATTTCTGTAGACATTGTAATTCTGTGCTACTTCAAATTGCCAGGCTGATTGAGATAAATATGATGGTCATAATGCTAGTCATAAAGTGGTAGGAAGCCAAGGAAAATATATATATTGACAAAATGAAAAATAACCAGCTGAAGTTTCTGTATATCTAAATAAACTATGACCATTATGTATATAATTACAGATTGGTTATTTTCATATTGCATGGTGTGTGCATACTGGTATTTAATTTTGTGTTTGCATATGTATTTGCATGTGCATACACACATGCACGTGCAATCGGGGACATGCACACACAGAGGTGTATGTACGTATATAGACCCAGAGAACAATCAGAAAAGTTCTACAGAGATTCTCTTTGACAGACCTCAAAGAATTACTGACTCGCCTTCCTCAGAAACTGTCATGGTTTTGAGTTCTCTAATATTATA